ACAGTGCTAACCACCTTGCAGCCCAGGGGCAGAACAGCAGAACACAAAAACACGACACCATGTGTGTCCAGTTAAACAATAAAAGTGGTTTGTTTCCATAGTTTGATCCACAACGCCTCGTGTGTGTGTTGGTGCTGTCTTTTTATACAGTTCTTGTTCTCTGATGTAAATGTTTTTCATAGTTTGGGGGACTGGTTTCATTACATTTCCTTCCCAACATCTACATGCAGAAGACGGTTTTCCTACTAGAATCCAGCAGAGATTCGGCTGTGGAGAGAGAAGCAGAGTAACTTGCTTGTTGACAAATAAAAGAACTCGAGTTTTGTTTGACTTTAAGGTTTTAAACAAGCTGGATCCATGTTTTTTTGTTGTTTTTTTAAGAACTCTTGCATCTTCACATGTCGAGCAGAGCACTGAGGCTGACCAACCAGATGCTCTTGGATTTTCCAGGATCCAAAAATAGAAGTGACGGAGCCTTTTCAGTACCTTATTTGTTGGAACTTTTCATGTGAGAACCGCTCAGACTCTTGATTCATCTCTCTTTGTTGGCTTTCGATTGAAGTAGAGCTCCACCTCACCTATTATTTCATCTTTTATTCTTACTAAATTATTGCTTTTATTCAGACTTGTCAGGGAAAAAGCAGAACAAGGTCAAGCTCCAGCAACACTTGCACTATTTATAAAAAACAATTCCCTTCAGGCATTTCAGATTCATCACAGTCATCCGCCAGCTTTGGTGTGGCAATAAATATTTCCCAGTGTCATTACTCATGTAAGTATTTGGCGCCTGCTGAAGCATTTGACTTAATAATGCTTGATGAAGAGTCAGGAAATCGCAACTTACTGGTTTCTTCTGGGAAACACAAACGTCTTTTGATCGAGCCACGCCACTAGCACGGCTAAAAATGGAAGCAGATATTTATAGTGCTGCACTGTATATGTTTGTACCCCATCAACTCCTTTGCACAACAGTTTTCTCTTAAAAGATGCCAGTCTGGACTCCTATTCCAGCCAAGCAGGATGCAATCTGTGCATCTCGATTCAGGGTCTCACGAGGCCTGTCCTACTTCAAATGCTCGTCCATATGCAGCCTTCCTTTGTCCAAATTCATCACAACTGGTGTACAAACGGTCTGTTGTTAACAGAGCAGTCGGGACTGGAATCATGCAGCCCCTGTGGGACGATGAACCGACATAACCTGCAGTGCAGCTTGTCCAACCGCCGTCAAAACAAAACCATCGCACACACTTTTTTAACCCTTTCACGGGGATGCTGGAATTGAGACACGGGACCTAAGCTGCATTCTGCAAACACAGTGAGCCGTGAAGCGCTGACAGCTTCACGCTCATCACTCATCTGTGTGTGTTGATGCTGCACAACCAGTTTGAGGCCTCATCTGCCGGCTCGGCGCGCCGGAGGCTGAGAAGACTTTACCCTTTCATTAATGAAATACGCCACCTGGTGAATGTTTGGATTCACAGCAACTTCAGTTTCGTCACTGAAGCTCCACAGTCCTTCCTGCTGCATTTTATTTGTGGTTTTTAATGTAATGACTTTAGCAACTCCTAGTGGTAAATTAAAAAAATGCCTTTAGAGTGATTTATTAGATGCTGTATGTAACAAAAATCCAACATCGAAGGGTGTTAAATATCTTTCTTTTTACATTTTTTTCTCTAATGTAGGCAAAAATAAATCAATTAATTATTATAAAAAAGGATTAAAAAAGACACTTTGAGCAAGTATTTTATTGAGTGTGAAAAAACATTCATGTACAGCAGTTTTTCATGTACACAGTTAAGTCATGACAAAATAATACAAGTAATGGGAACCGATTCACAGTTTTATGGTACAATAGCCGTGTTGGAGTAACTGAAAGTTGCAGGTGAATTACGTCAAGAAGGGGAAATATTTAAAGTTATTTTGGGACATTTTGCTTTTTATCAGACAGTGCAGTGGAGACGGACCGAAAATGTGGGGAAGGGCATATTCATCAAGTGGAATAGTTGATTCATCAGATCTCTATAGTGCAAAAAACTGACAGAAAGCTTATTTTACAGACAAACAAATGACATAAAAACATCAATAACATTTCAACAAAAAGACTGTGAATTTACTTTTTTCCTTCTGAAATAACGTTTAAAACCTGTAACAGGAAATACCCATAAAGTTTCCACATTTATTTAGAAAATGGACATCATTTACATCAGAATATATACATGCAGTCGTCCTCAAATGTGTTCAGACCCTGCTATTAAAGAAAAGGCAAAATTCACAAAAGTCACTCAAATAAATAGAAATTGAAAAAAGCAATAATAAATACAAATTTGCTAAATTACAATTTAGTGAAATAAGACACTGCTTTTGAATTGTGGTTGAAAAGAATAATTTAAAAAAAATAAATAAATATCCCGCACAAATGAGATTGCATTGATTGCCCCAAAGGGTTGTTCAATAAAATATTAGTTTACGGGTCCCATTATGCTTTTTATTTTTATTTTTTTGAACATTTCTGTTGAACCACAATTCAAAAGCAACGCCATGATTTTCATTAAATTTTTAATTATTATTACTTTTGTTTATTTCAACTTATTTCAGTGACTGATGTTTTTTTCCTTCTTTAATGGGAGACTATGAATACATCTGAGGACGACTGTATGCATATATATATATATTGCTTATGTGTGTCTAAAAACAATAGCATTTATATATATATATGTATGTATGTATATTATAACATTAAAAAGCCAAGAAAAAATAAACATAGTCTCATGTAAAAAATGTGCTTAAAAAAAAAAAGCATGTCACCCCAGCTGCTGTACGACTCTATTTATTTCTTTTTTACAGTGTGGTTAATATCTGTTCTTGTTTTGTCTGTCTGGCAGATCCAAACACATTCTGATCCCAGACATGTCTGTGTTCAGCTACACCAAACGTCCGTCTCCAGATCAGCTAATCAGAGTGTAAATCGAGCCCTTGTTTTCGTGGCGTGCATGCCATTAACATCTGATCATGTGTCCTGGATTCATAATGCTACAGCGTCCACAGTGAGCTGCTCAACCGGACAGATGACCAGCGGTGCCGTGTTCCTCCCGTTGTCATGGAGACAGGGGTTTAGGTACGGGTACAGAGGCTCGGTGAAGTTACACTGGCTGTACGTGTAAATGTGAGTCTTTGCTTCTGCGTTGTAGAAGGACACCGATCCTTCCTCGTAGTCCAGGAAGATGCCGACCTTCTGAGGAGTCTGCTGGAGGTGGAGGGTGACGGAGGGGCCGGTGCAGGCGCTCAGAGGGCCGCTCTTCCTCCGGCAGATGGCCCAGTAGCCGCTGTCGGGACGCACCGTGATGGCGCCTTTTCTGTTGATGGACTCCCGGGCCACGCCGAGATCCCAGTCCGTTTTATCCCCAACCTGAAACACCAGAGTGCAGATTTCATTGGCTTTAAATTCACATTTCCTAGATACCACACACATCATACAATGGACACCGAAGCCTAACACATAAGGAAAGATGTGAGCATTGTTTGATCCAACGGGGAGTTATCTGGATGCTTTGTGCTTATTTAAGTCACAATAAAACACACAGTAGAAGTCTTAAAAGCCAAATCCTACTTATATACAGTAAATGCATCGTGCAGTTTGGCCCCAAATTATTCATACCCATGAAAAATGTACATTCATACTGAATTTAATTTCTTCTGGCTGAAAATGACATGAACAAGTGACAAGAGACATTATGTTAAAGATGTTAACGATAAATTCTAACTATTTCTACTGAATTTTGTTCACATTTACTAAAATGCATCCTCTCACACAAAGTCATACCATTGTGTCACTTGTTTACACTGAAACGACCTTCTTTGTCATGTCTGTCAAGTTTCCGTTTTATTTTTGCACATTTCATGTCTTGTCTTTCCTGTTTTATTTTGAAATCACTAACCTGTTGTCTCTGTTTTAGCTTCACTTCCTGCATGCCCTTCCCCCATCTCCTCACACCTGCTCCCTGATTGTTCTCCTCACCTGTTTCCCATCTTCCCTCATTACCTCTTGTATATCACCCTGTGTGTCTCACAGTCTTGTTGCCAGTTCGTTGCACTTCACGGTGTTCATGACGTTCTTCTGAGCTAATTCAGTAACAAGAAAACTGAATCCATTTCTCGTGGTGATTTTGCGTCCCACTTTGGATAATATGCTACTCATAAACACTAACATAAGCTGCAGGTTTCCAGCTTGCGACTCCCACTCTGACTTTGACAACAGGGGTTTTGCACTTTAACTTGTTGTGTCCTGAGCTCCTACCTGAACCACCCAGTAGTGTCTCCCGGAGGTGAAGCTTTGCTTCCCCAGAACGGAGACGCAGGAGTCGAACCTGCGGGGGTCATCGTGAAACGAGAGTCTCCTCTGATGGGAGCTGAGGCTCACCTGTGGATCATAATTTATCTCAATTAAAACATCGTCAGCACCAGTTGTATCCCTGATCTCTTCTCATTACATCCCAACCACACAACAAATGTTCTCAAACAAATTCTAGCTTGTGTTTCCTAAGACATACTCGTGGTCTAAATGTCAGTTGTGTAGTTGTCTCTATAAAGCCCAGTCATACTGCAATGATCACCAATGCAAGTGAGCTGCTCGCAGTCATGCACATGTATTCATCAAAGCTTCCTCAACACTGTGAGATGGTTTTCACAATACGGAAACTATTTAATACACTCGCACACTAGAATACCTTTTTACCATCCGAGGACAGAACCAGCCATCCTGCAGCCGTCTCAGGGTCCAGAGTTACATCCACTGGAGACAGAAAGACAAAACAGCAGCAGAGAACTGATGAGATCATGTTCATGAACAGAAATAAATTGCTCACAGCAAACAAAAAAACAAGCAGCACAAAGAAAAACCGAATGAAGAAGATATTTAGAACCACATTTGGCAGTTTTACTGATCTGGTGTTTGTACTGAACATTTTTTAAAGTGTTTTTTTCCCCCAAAATATTATAAAAGTAATGTTTTTTTGTTGTTTTTTTCGACTGAAGTCACAAATGTTTCAGCGAGGTGTTTGGCTGCAGAATATTTGGATTCACAACATGTTGTTCAGATTCATGTGCTCTCATGTCAGCAACTCGTTTGTGTCCGTGTTCATTTCTTTACACGTACCTGCATATTTATTCACACTGCTTACTTCTGCAAAAGACCAGAAAAATAACATGAAACATACGGGCAGTAAAATCAACATGCTCTCAGATTCTGCAGTTTCAGATCTGTACTATGGTACGAATAAAAACCCTTCTAGAGAATAAAGACTTAACTTTTCAGCAGGCATTTCATTATTTCACACATTACTGACCTTCTGTGGATAGTTTCTTGTCAAGTTCATTGCAGATGTCCAGCAGCTTGGAGAAAGCTCTCCTCACCGTTCCGATGTAAACGAACGACTGGACTCTGACCTCGGACCAGTCCCTGATGGGCGGCGCAGCACTGAGACGTGCAGAGCTCTGAAACAGTGGCAACCATTATTGATTAATGCAAACTAAATATGCAACAGACACTTTCCAACAAGGCTCAGTATTGACAGTGCTCATTGTACAGATCTGTAGTGAATCACAACGACAGGCTGTGTTGTTGCCTATCAGCTTGTGTTTTCCTGTCATGGCTCACCTGCAGCAGATGAACAGGGTCCCTGGTGCGCTCCAGTGATTGCAGCTCACTGCGTGTCCGCTGCAGCTCACTGATTTCCTGCTTGAGCTTATTCAGAAGCTCCTCCGCCTTCCTCTCGACGGCCTCCTGCTTCTCCTCGATCTCCTCGATGAGCAAAGCCTGGTTCCTCTCGATGGCGCTGATCACCATCGTGAACACCTGGACACTTGTCTGGATCTCTTTTTCCTTCTGTATCTGCAGATATGCATACATTTACATAGGAATTTCACAAACTGTAGTTACGGTACCAGCAGTTTACGAGGATTCATCTTCTCACAGTCTGAGTCAGAGTTCATGCAGTCTGCATCGTGCAGCCACACATTTCCACAAAAAGCAAAACTTCAGAAATGAGTGAGAGGACAGTTTGTTCTTCTCACCAGAGGGGGCAGCACTGCTGAACAGAAGCACCACATTGGAAAACAAGGACACCACAGAAAAAGCCAAAGAAACTACTCTTGGCCAGGAGAGTTTTCTGGTCTCTGTATAAAAGGTGAAGGTAGTATTTGGGCCCTAAAAGCGAAGATGTGCCTTACACCTGCATTCTTTCTAACAGCCAGCAGGGGGCGACTTCTCTGGTTGCAGTAGGAAGTCAGATTGTATAGAAGTCTATAAAAAAAATCTACTTCTCAGTTGCTTTGTTGACACAGAAAACATTTTACTAATGAGTTTGTGGTCTGAAATGCTAGTTTTAGAACTTTGTCAATACAAAATAATGTTCATTTTCCATCAGACGACTCAGGTGGTGAAGTAGAAATTATAAATTAAAGCCTCAAAACAGTAACGTAGAAACCAACAGGTGATGTCACCGTGGCTACTTCCATCTTACATACAGCCAACAGACTAGAACCAACAAAAGACTTATCCCAGGGGCTGGGGACAGCATTATTACGACCAGTTAGACCAAGCAGAACTCTTTTTGTAAAAGCTAGTGAAGCATTTGTCTGATCCCAAAAAGAAAATAAAGGGTCGAGCTTCAACATGGACAATGGATTCTGGTTTACTGTTGTTCTCATTAACGTTCCATCATTTTTTTAGAGTGTACTCCTGTGGTGGATTACCTCTATACCGTTGCCTCTTATAGAATATGCGAATCCATAAAGTCCCTGCCCCTCTGTCCACCCAGCCCTCCCCACACACTGCAGCTCGAGCACACCAGCTCACCTACAACTCTCTTGAAACACTGTGAAACTACTCTATGAAAAGGAAAGGTGTAATGTTGGAGAAACTGGAAACTGACTGTGAAGAAGAAGAAGAATGACACAGAAAGCACATGAAACCCAAGAATCTGTGTTTTTTAGACTCGGGGCGAGTCTTTGACGAGGCCTAAAGGCTGGATTACCTGGATTTCCATAATTTTTCTTCCAATAAATTTAAGTTTTTCCCTGCTGCTTAGGGTGACCGACTTGGTATGCATTATGCTGGTTATACATGAAACAGCGTACATTCACAAAATCAAGGTTCATGTTTGTAACACAAGACTGACTTGGCTCATCTCCAGTGCATGCTTGATCTCCTCAGTCTTTCTGATTCGAGCCTGGATCATCTGTTCAAACTCTGCTTCGGTTTTCTTCAGCTGAGTCTGCAAAGGTTGACATTTATGTCCAAGTTATATCACAAATTTAATGTGCTTTGTAAGAGACATTGTCGATATTTTGAATGAAGTGAAAACTGATGACAGTGCAGCTGTACCTTGATCCTCTTGCTCTCCTTCTCCATGGGGACGGTCTCATGGTACTTATGGTCCCTCTCTGTGCATTTCAGACAAACAGGGATCTGATCGGTCTTGCAGAACATCTCCAGCTGCTTGTTGTGGTTTTTGCAGAGGTGGCTGGTGGCGAAGTCGGCCGGATCCGTCAGCTGGTGCTTCAACAGCACTGTATCCCTCTGGTGAGGCGTCAGGTGAAAACTGCAATAAGACGTCTGGCAGACGAGGCACGACATGACTGCTGCTACCGTGTGTTCATCGCACAAGTCACAGGGAACCACGTCAGACCTGGACGACTGCCTCTGGGGCGCTCGCTTTGGTGGCACTGGCTTGGACGCAGGTCTGCCCTTCAGGGACCTTTTGATTTAACAGGTCTAATTAATGTCAGTCAGACAGATGAAAAGCAGATGAGCTTGATTTGCTAATAAATTGTATAAAAATGTACATATGCAAACATTCGAACGCCAACAAACCTTTTAAATTGGTCCGTGATGTCTTTCAAGCCCACATTGACCCGGAGGTCCGGACGGGGTTTGAAGGTCTCTTTGCAGAGTGGACAGTCCGACTTACGTTTTGTGTCCCAGTAGCGTTTGATGCATTCCAGGCAGTAGTTGTGTCCACATGGGATGGAGACGGGATTTTTGAAGCTGTCCAGACAGATGGTGCACCGAAACTGCTCCTCAGACAAAGCAGCAGCCATGTTTCTGAGTGAAGAATGGCATTATGTTACTCAGACATGCAAGGGTGACACATTTCTAGATTTCTGGGAAATATAAAATGACTTCCCCACTTGTTTTGTCACAAGTTAAAACTCAAAGTATTAGTTATACAAATAAATGTAACCCATATTTCAACACAATTTGAATTTTTAAAAAAAAGAAAACGATCCAGACTTCACCAAACATTCTCTGCATCTCCTAAATGACAACTTTCAGCTCTTGTCTTACTGGATTTAATGAAAATATCCTCAGCAAAGTCACAAAAAGAGAAAAAAAGAGATAAAAGATGTAAATAAGATTAGACCCAGTTAGTTACCGTGAACAAAAACAAGAAACTAAAGTAGTGGTTCTGTCATTTTACACAGATTAGTTTGTTAAATTAGAGGGATCTTTAATAATCACAGACGTTTTTACAGCAAAAATGTTGAATGAATGTCTTTTCATCAGTTTATAATATCGATGAGCAGAACACAGTTTTTATCATTATATCTATCTGCCAACCAACCAACCAACCATACAAACATGCAACCAGGTAAAACTAGCACATTAATTTAATGTACTTCAGGTACTTAACGAGGGAAGTAAGTTCATAGTACAGATTAAACTGTATTTGCTAAAAACAAAGGAAACAACCAGCCTTAAACCAAAAAGGAATTTTTAGTTTAACTTCATGTCTACACTACAGCATTAGGTAGTAGACTTATATAAGGTAACTTAATCACATTGAAGCTATAAATAACAAAAAGACTGCAGCGTTCACCCTATATGCAGACGACATCGCTCTTTGTTGACACAGAAAATGTAAAACAAGCGTCATCGTTGAGCTGTACCTTAACTGGAATAAGGACGTATACCAGTTAAAACCTCTCATCCAGTGGTACCAAATTATCTTTCTGAACAGTCTTTGAAAAGTTATAAATACTGCTTATAGAATAGTTGTTGCTCAGCTGTTCACTGAAGGTTTGTAAAGTGTTTTTTATGGGTTTCCTCATAGTAAAATAAAATATTCTGCCTTGTTTTTCGGCCCTTGTTCAGTCTGACATGCTTCAGACTTTTGCAATCTTTCGGATCTCCTCTATTCCTAATACAGGTCATGTTTTTTTCTGTACGGTACAGACGTCTGCAAAACAGTAAATAAAAGAATAAATTAAAGAAGGTGTGTGACGTTGTTTACTCAGGTCTCAGATGGAATCTGAGCCAAGCATGTTCCAGCTGGTGTGTTGTTCTGCCATGTTCTCTCTTTCTCTCCAAACAAAGGCACAAACATCACAAAAAAGCTTAGTTTTTACAGCTACATTGACTACAGGACATTTAATTCTGAGTCTTTTCCTCACATTTAACGTACCGTCTTCATGACACCAACATTGACTTTTTCATCTCGGAACATTTTTGAAAAACACTGCTGAAAGATGTTAATGCTAACATTTACCTTGAAGCAGAAGCGACTGGTTTTAGGTGTTACGGTCCTCTATACTGTTTAGTTAGAATAAATAATGTCTTACTTGCATGAATCTGCAGACAGCTAGTCCTCGACAGATGCGTCCAGTGCAGCATGAACGTCTTGAATTGTTCCTGGTAAAAGTTTGTCCCTCTCACAGTGGAATTTAAACTGGTAACTCTGGTTCTCCTTCTTGGTTTTCTCTCTTCCTTTTTAATTGCCACTTACTGTAACAGATGAGCCGTCCCACTTACAACCAGTTAATGTCTCTGCAAACAACAACAACAGCCTATTTACCTCTTTACAAGACCAAGATGATATCTGACTTCAGGACATAGCTTAGCTGGATTTTATTCATATCTCACACAACACTTCTTTAAGACTGTTGTTAGTCTGAGCTCAGGGCTGGATTTTTATCATCCTGTCCTGCTAATCATTGGGCCACATGGCTCTTGGCAAATCCTGCACAACCTTCTCATTAATCCTCAAATATACACCCATCAGCCATCCTGTTAGTATGCACTGTTCAAACCTCACGTTCTGGCAGTCTTGTGCTCAGAAATGGCTCAAGGAACACGACAAAGAGCCCAAAGCATCTTCAAACTCCAGATACCCTCGAGCCCTCTCCATGGAGGCCTCACCCTGCAAACCACAGAACCCAAAGGATCCACTGCCAGCTTTTAAGCATTGTGGTTGATCGAATGGCATCTGTGGCATTCGTTAGTGATGAATGTTGTCCTGATCTGCCCTGACGCTGAGTGACTGAGCATGTGAAATAATAAACAGTCTCGGCAGACACTTTATGACTGGGTGGAGTTCTTTGTTTTACACTCGTATTTACTCCAGGTGACCTTGGGAAATTGGTCACAACAGGATCAGTGTCACACAGTCAGGCTTGTGTGAATGTTGTACTGCTACGAAAAAAAACCCCTTTAGGTGGAGAAGGAAGAAAGCTGGACGGGCTGGTTTGAAAGGTTTGTGCCTGGAGGTCGCCTCTTATCAGCAATGACTAGATTTTCACAGATACACTCAAAAGGTTTGGGGATGTGGTTCCTTGCAAAATATTATCTGCAAGCAACAAAGTGAGTCTTTGTTTTAACCTCCTGTCACCAGCATTAGGTTTCACCTGATGTTGCATAAGAAATAAATGAGAAAAATATCATACATGAAAAAAATACTTCCTCAAAACAATAAATCACCAAGTCACAGTGACTTGATTTGCAAGAATTCACTGTCTTTCCTCATCAAACAAGTGCCAGAATATCCGTACAGATGTGTTTCATTGTGGCTGTTACAAAGCTGCTGTGTGACTTTGACAAACATTGGACTGAACTTGGATTACCTACTGGTGGAGTCACACAAAAACAGGATTCTTTTGAAAATATTCTTGTAGATTAATCATAGCAACTGGACTTGCTTGAGTTCCTTGAAGACGTTCCACCTCTCATCCAAGAGGCTTCATCAGTTCTGACTGACAAGTTGGGAGTTCCAGATACTTTTATCCTTAAGGAGCCATTAACACCTGAGTTTCAGTTTCAATTGGGGGTTTGTTGCTCCTCCCCCTCGTTACGTGAGTCGTTAGTGCTCCCCTGGCACAGTGGGGTTCGTTAGGGTCTTTTGTGGCTAGGTGTGGCTGTGGTTGACGCCTAAACTCAGGTGTTAATGGCTCCTTAAGGATAAAAGTATGTGGAACTCCCAGCTAGTCAGTCAGAGCTGATGAAGCCTCTTGGATGAGAGGTGGAACGTCTTCAAGGAACTCAAGCAAATTCAGCTGTAACGATTAATCTCCGAGAACAACCATGACTTGGATGACTGAGAATCTTCACAGACTTTTGAAAATCGTTTTTCACTTTGCCGTTAAACTCCACACTCGCTCTGTCCTGCACATGATTCCCTTGAATATTGACAACAGGTCAAAACAGAGGTAATGTTGGTATTTTGGTGTGATAGCATGCCAGAAGTAGATTCAGTACGCCCCAGCACACAGCATGTCAAAGGCATGATTGCAAAACTGCATGGACGTCCAACTACACCTGGTCTCACCTGACAGCATGCAGTAGAACATGCTTCTCTGGACATTCTGACACATGAAACTCTGCAAAAAGCAACAAGCTAGAGCCACTAAGGACAGATTTCACGCTGTAGGAGATGAGAAGGCTTATGGTGCAATATTCTGAAGAAGTAGTATGTACCAAGCATACTGCAAATCACACTCTGGGTTTTGTAAGTGCAGCTGTATGTGTAGCAAAAGCATGGGGTTGTGACCATGCAACTAAAACCCCTAGTTTATGCAAAGTAGAACTCAGTATTGCAGGTTTTGAAGAGTTATCAACCTTTAGCAGCATTTTATACGCCCGACCTTCCACCCCAACCCACTCTTTGTGTTTTTGTGGAAACATGAAACCACACTGCATATTTACAGAGTTTATCAGAACCAAAGAATATCCGACAGCAAACAGACAGTGAATCCTTTCTTCAACCAGGACACAATGTCGCACTTTATGTAGCTCAATTGTAGCACTGATTTAAATTTGCAAATCAGTTTTAAGTGTACTGTTGCCTCGCAGCAAGAAGGTTGCCGGTTCGCGTCCCGGTGGGGGCACCGGAATCTTTCTGCGTGGAGTTTGCATGTTCTCCCCGTGCAGCGTGGGTTCTCTCCGGGTTCTCCGGCTTCCTCCCACACAGTCCAAAAACATGTTGAGGTTAATTGGTGATTCTAAATTGTCCGTAGGTGTGAATGTGAGTGTGCTTGGTTGTCTGTCTCTAAGTGTAGCCCTGTATCCAGGGTGTCCCCTGCCTTCGCCCTAAGTCGGCTGGGATAGGCTCCAGCCCCCCCGCGACCCTAATGAGGATTAAGCGGTGTATAGAAAATGGATGGATGGAGTTTTAAGTGTGTTTAAGAGTTTCATGCAGAGTATTTCAAAGATGAGATTCGGATCAGCTGCCGCTCTGAGCAGGGGCGTTGAATAATGTGACACTGACAGCTGAGACTATGCCGGGGTGTCAAACAGGGTACGCAGGGAGTTTTAAACACTTAACAGGTTCTTCTGTTGGATGTGAGAAAATTGACAACTGCATTAGATGGTGGCACATCAGTTCAAACACGCCCCAGTGCCAGACGATAATAGTATGAACGCCTTCAGCAGGCAGCGAGCAGATCTACAGCACCGCATGTGCTAAAGCTGACACGATTTCCAGTTCAACACACTCAAATGTTTCTGTTAACAGCAGAAAACTTTTCCAGTTCCTATCAGCTCTCTGGTGCCTTAATTCAGCCACCAGACGCTGTTGGAATTTCCCTTTGTTTCCGTTCACCTGACTGCCACGCCCACCTCACCTGCTCCGTTTTCTAGTCACCCTCAGTCTATTTATAACCTTTTTCCCTGCTTTCTGCCAGGTTGTCACTCACAAACTCATTAAATGTTGCTTTGCTTCCTGTTTACTGACTGCTTGACAGCAAAAAAAAAAGAAAAACATCACATGTATTCCTGTCCGGCTGGTTCTGTGTGCGCTCAGGTCCTCCTCCTTGTTCTCACAGAAAACCTTTCCACAGCCTCACACAGCAATGAAAGAACCACAGAACCATAAATAATCTTGTACAGTGCACTTGTCAAATGGCTGCCACTCCCATGTTCCTGGCCTTGTTACTGACAACCAGCTTCCTAGAATGATGCCACCTTGTCTCAGGGACTCTCCACTGGGGGACATCCCATTTAAAAAGTGGACAGTATTGTTGGTTTCAGATCATGAACTATTCAACAAGCATTCCACACATACAAATCTGTTTTTTGTAGTATTTTTAATGACACATAATTATTATTATAATGAACACTTGACTGCATAAATACAGTCATTACTTTAAGCATTTAGACAATAGGACATTCAGCATGATGGCTGCTATAAGAGATGAAGGGAACATTTGACATTAAGTCGTATTAACTGATTATTGATATGAGTGTGTCAGCTCTGCAACAGAATCTGTAAATTGTCTATCAGTGTTTGCTTGGTCCCACAAAACGCTCTTTAAACTGCAGTTAACTGCTATGAAACAGCCATTCACAGTGTTTTTTTAAACAACAGATTTTAATCATATTTATTTATTTTTTTAACAATTGAATACTATTTAATAAATTTTCCCCATTTTGGTGAATCACAAATTATAACTAGTACAATTACAGACACAAAACATTAATTTAGAAAGAAATCTGGTCTAAACTGTAAATGATGTCCACATCATCAATATGTGAATGAAATATTATATATATATAATATTTGTTCTCTGTGAATTCTTTGTGCAAACCAGGAAAAAACAACAACACTTGATTGTTTTCTTTTGTGTTTGTTTATTTGTTTGTTTACAGATTTTTGCTGTTAGTTGAAAGAAAATTTATGAATGTTAAGAGTTTAAAAATGACAAATATTTTTGTTATTTTACAGATTTCCCTTGTTTTGTCAAATTAAAAAATAATAACTGGTTCGCGTCCCGGTGAGGACACCCGGGATCTTTCTGCGTGGAGTCTGCATGTTCTCCCCGTGCAGCGTGGGTTCTCTCCGGGTTCTCCGGCTTCCTCCCACAAGGTCCAGAAACATGTTGAGGTTAATTGGTGATTCTAAATTGTCCGTAGGTGTGAATGTGAGTGTGCTTGGTTGTCTGTCTCTAAGTGTAGCCCTGTGATAGACTGGTTACCTGTCCAGGTGAACCTGCCTTCACCCTGAGTCAGCTGGGATAGACTCCAGTCCCCCATGACCCTAGTGAGGATTAAACGGTGTATAGATGATGGATGGATGGATCCATAAAAACAGACCGAAGCTGTGCATTCCCACGGCCACATCATGTGCTTTTACAAATAGGAATCTGTTTTTTTTTTACAATGTGCAGCCATAAAATTACAGTAATACAGATATTCGCTGTTGTTTTTATTTAGTTTTTACAGTTTGTGCATGTTAAAGCATCCCACCATTCCAAACATCATTTTTTCTTCTGCCTTTGCTGCCCAACTTCTACGGTTTATTTTTTCAGTGAAACTTGGCAGAAGAACATAAGTACATTAAGTTCTAACTGAAATTGCGTCATATGTTCTCTGAAGCTGGACTTGGAAGTACATTCTGTATTTGCATTCATGGTAATAAATGTCCCTGAACAGTTTGTACTTCTGCCACCACTCCTCATCCTCCGTCTCCCTCTGCATGACAAGAGAACAACAACAGAGTTTCAGTGATCGACGGATGACAACAGTGACTTCATTCCCCGCTGAGCCTGAATCAAGCTGCACTTCAATTAACTCGGGCTGGGTGACCTTATCGTCAGTGATGATCAAGAACATGAACAAGGCTGGACTACAGCAAACTCAACCTGCACATTTCATCTTGGCACACTTGTGCAATTAACTCCTGAGCTCACAGACGATGTCAGTTGAGTACACCTGATCGGAGTTAAATCATAAAATCTGTCACTCACTTACGATCCCATGTGTTTTCCACAAGTACAACAAATCACTGATTTAAAAAAAATACTTATGTTTAGAATCTAAAAAATACCATGATTAAATTTCAGTTAGATTTTAGGCACAAACACAACCTGCTGAGATTCAGACAAAGATGACAGATTTTTATGTAGATTCAGGACCATGAAATATGACGGGATATTTTAAAAAGTAAAGGGTTTTTTTCCCAACACAATATATTGTAATGTTTACAGGTACACTGTCCTGTGATGTGACATTTGCATGTGTTTTACATCCTTAAATCTCACTGAGATCATAGCAACAAAAAGAAAGCTCAAACCATCCAGTGAATCATCAACTGTGAAGTGAATCATGAGAACATTTTAATTTTCAGAGTTTGTTTCAGGGAACATTAACATTCATATTTGATGGTAATTATTCTTTCTTCATTCAAGAGCTCATGTAGCAGCTCAGCTGGTTCAGAAGCAGGTTGCATTGTGGGCTTATTGCATTACTGGATAATTGAATAAAGATTCCGATTAAACTGAAAGCCAAATGGAAGCTGAAATGCTGCTCTGCTGTGCTGCGTCACATTTAAATGTTAAACGGTACAACTGGTGATAACTGTTGTTGTTGTCATAAAAATGTATTGAAAACAAAACCAATATAATGACTAAAGATCAGTACGATGATAACAGCTGCAAACACAGTTTTGACACAAGGAACAGATTCAAGTCAGCTGCAGCTCTGTAGATATTAAAGAACCACAATGAAAGATATTCAGTCAACTCCAATGACCTCAGAGATGTTCTTACAAAGCTACAATCTTAAATCATAATACATCACACATCACTCTTAAATGTCCAACAACATGCTCTACAAATAAATCCAGACTTACAGGGATAACTTCATGTCTTTGCAATTCATTACATTTTCACATGAGTAAATGTTCAAGCAGTGGTTAAATGTATAGATTTCCACATGGATGTGACATAAAATCACCTGTAAATCTTCCCTACGATTAATGTAGCAACACAGCAGGATGATAAATAACATACTTGTACAATTTTATGAACCATTAACTCTGCTCTACTCCAAAACAATAAATGTGTTACATGACAGTTTCATATTTATGTGGTTATGTTGACTAATGTTTCAACCAAAAATACAAACCTTACCAGTAAAATACACGGCAAACCACCCTGTAAGTACAGTTTATCAGTTCCATATACAGTGGAGTTAGATAAACAGAAGCACATATTAAACATGTCTTCTCTTAATCTGCGTTCTTCTCTTCTTCCTGGAAGATCGCGTTGTTATCCTTCTTTACCCAAGCAATTTTCAAACCTGCTGTGATCCCTTTCTCTTTCATCTTCTTCTCCATCTGAAAAACAAGTTCATGAGGAAACAAACTGAATTTTTTTTGTTGTTGTTGTTGTTAATGTTTCAACAGATTTTTGTCCACTGAAACTTAAATATTAATATCAAGACATCTCATCTCACACGTACCAGCTTCAGGATGGCCTCCGTCACAGCAGGGTCATTCAGGTCGACGGTGGATTTCAGTGCCGTCAGCTTGATCTGAAACCGGTGCTTCTTGTCTGCGCACAAAATGGAAACACAGATTCACTGAAACATAGACTGGAGTGTCAGTGCAACACGATCAATGTGAGTTTGTTTGGAGATAACTCACTGTCGTAACACATGAACGGAAGTTTTTGGTCGCATGGTTGTTCGAACCACTTTCCAGCATCAGCATCACCGATCAAACTGGTAGCACAGTCTCCAGTTGTTCCAAATGGGTGCTCAGTCAGCCAGTTTTTGAATTTGTGCTCTGTGCCATCTGACCAGTAGGACCAGGTTTTTCTGGACAGGCCAACAGCAGCAAAAGTAACATCACCTATTGGCATCACGTTGTCGACCAATACCATCTCGTTCTCATTCCTAATAGAGGCCAGGTCCGTGTGGTGTTTCCTGCAGTAGCTCTGAGCTCCCTCCCACGGTGGTGTCCCACTTACATAGACATACCTTGGGGGAGAAGAAGCTGGCAAGAATTTTAAAAGTCCAGTTAGACGAATTTGCACAAATAAACAATATAATATAACCAAGAGTAAAGAAATGTCCAGTATGCATGATATGAAATTCAGAGAACTGTCAAATCAGGCTCCATAAAAAAAAAAAAAAGATAAATATAATATAAATAATAAAAATAATCAGGCTCTCTCTCCCAAACAGAGCATGTGTTAACTGGGTGAAGAAGTTCTTTAAAGTGCTCTTTCCACTGCCTCTTTCCCCAGTCCCTGTCAGCAGTTCTCTCCCCCGGCTGTACAAAGCCTGGGTGAAGCCCTGCCTCCCCTTTCCTTCCAGTCTGCCAGACCTTCCACGAGGCCAGCTCAAAGTCTTTCTCCTTAGCCTCTGAGATCTTCTCCTGCACCTGAGTTTTATCTTCCTGAACTGCCGCAGCCCTGTTGCCCAAGCGCTACCTGTCTACTGCTTCAGAAGACCCCCGAGCCAACCCAACCTGAAAAGCCTCCTTGATGGCTTTCTTCACAGCTGGTGTCCACCGGCAGGTTTTGAGGTTGCACCAGTGACCTTCTTGCTGCAGCACATAACAGCTGCTTCTACAATGGGGGCTTTGAGCATGGCCCACTCAGATTCGATGCCCCTCACCTCCCCTGGGATGCAGGAGAAACTCGTCCGGAGGTAAGAGGTGGGACCCGGCAGACAGGGGTCTCCACCAGACGTTCCCAGTTCACTCTCTACATATCTGGGTTTACCGGGTCTGTCCGGCAGCGTTCCATGCCTTTGGATTCAACTCACCAACAACTGGACAGTGGCCCCATCTTGTTTCTTTAGGCTGTGCCTGACTGACCCTAAGGCTTGGCCACCAGACGCTGGCAGTCAACTCCCCTCCTCTGCTGGTAGCAAGGAGGGCACCGACTTCCAGGCAAGGTGGCAGCTTTACTTCTTTTCATTTTCAAGGTCTGGAAAATGCACTACATTTCATTGCATCATAGAAACCAACACAAGTGACGTTTTACTCACCATCTGAATTGTCATAGCAGACAAAGGGGATTTCTACATCGCAAAACGTGTCGAACAAGTGGCGTCCCTTTATGGCACTGCATAGCTTCCACTGATCTCTTTTTGTATTTGGTTCACCATCGGACCACTTGAGAAAGAGCTCATTGTTCGTTCCATAGTAGCCATCATCTTCCATAGACCACGCCCAGGTACTCGAATTGTCATACAGGCCTATCCACACTTGTCCAATGTAGCCACTGTCGGCAGCCGCAATCAGTTGTGTCACGTCCTCCATGTTGTCCACGGTGGCCAGGTCGGTGAACTTTTCTCTGCAGTACTGTTGGGCTTCACCCCAAGTCTTTGGTTCATCAATGTAATGGTAGTTATGAAAGCATGAGCAGAGCCCTGAAAAAAAAGACACGTTCTTCATACTGAACAACATAACATCATTTGTAGCAGTGACTGAAATGCACTGTTTCTCTATGCTAGAGGCAACAAATCATTGACATTAAGGCTGAAGGTTTGTTGTTTTGGGTAAAATAAAAAAAGTCAAATGATCGCATAAATTAAATATCGCTTAAAAACCAAAATTACACATGTGGATCAAACACACCCACACTTTGGACACCGATGTCAGCTGTGGACTGAAGATGGTGGGATATGAAACAAACGTGCCATATTTCCATCATTCACATGCTGGAGGTTTGCTATCCTGATTGCGCCAATTTGTTCTTCTGAAATGCTTAATTGATAGAAATATGCATTCATTCACATTTTTTTATGTAGATTAAAATTGTCTCTAGATTTAGATGTATCACACGGGTAACGTTGGTAAGACTGGGTTGGTAGGAGACAGATTTTTGATGCAACATGTTAGAAATCAAAGATGTTTTAAAAGTCAATGGAAAGAGTAAAGTAGTATGTAAAACAACTACAAATAAGAAATAGTTTTTTCATCATGTGTAATAGTAACTTTACAGTTTAACTGTATTTAAATGCACCAAAATATAATTATTTTACTTACATATGCAGTTATTTTCACAGTTTTATTGCAGCTGTTAAGAGTTACAGTTTTCCACCACATTTTTTAAACACATTTCTGTGCGTTGCAGAACAACTATTACGATGAATCATACACATGCAGACTGACCTGACAAAAGGAAGATACACAGCAAGGCCCCGTGAACATCTGTGGATAAAACACATCCATCACAGACTGTCAACACATTCCACCGTTGGTCAAGATTTTGTGAGTTTCTTAACTTTCCACATAAATTATGTCTGTGTCTCTTCTCTGTTGGTCTATTGTACACACTGAAGAGACAAAAATCCATTTTCTTCTTCTTTTCTTATGTTTTAAACGTATTGCTTACCTGGTCTGCGGGCTGGTGACATCTCCAAACTCTCCAGTTCTTGTTTCTTTGTCAAAATCTCAGAACTTTAATGACTGCCCAGGTAAGACAGGAAGCAGTGCCTTTGTGTTTTCCCTACCCTCCTCTCGTCCTTGGGCTTGACCTTGCTTCTTCTGCAAATTTGAATCCCTTGATTTGCAAGGCATTGAGCATTTCGTCTGACGACCGCAGTCACATTATCCCCCCATCGTCCTTGTTGAGATTTTGTTCTTTAATAAACAAATGGCTTCTTATTTAAGCCTGATGCATGGATGGATGGTGAAACAATATGCCTCTGTTGTCTACTATTGAAACCAAAAGATTACATACACTGTATAAAAAAACATAAAAACTTTTCTTTCTCATTGTCTGACATTAAATCAGACTAAACTTTTCCTGTTTTAGGCCAGTTAGGATTACCAACATTTTTTCTATTTGCTAAATGCCAGACTAATGAGAGAGAGAATTTTTCATTACTTAAGTCATAGGTTTACGTACGATAAGATTGCTGTGCTGTCAGACTATTTGGAAAGATGCTGCTGAAGCTGGTAAGGGAGTGTCATTATCCACAGTGAAACGAGTCCTGTACCGACATGGGCTGGAAGGCTGCTCAGAGAGGAAGAAGACATCACTCCAAAAGAAACATAAAAAAGACAGATTACAGTTTGCAAGTGCACACAGGGACAAAGAGCTTCATTTCTGGAGACACGTCCTGTGGTCTGATGGAACTAAAACTGAACTGTTTGGCCTTAATGACCATCGGTACAGTTGGAGGAAAAAGGGGGAAGCTTGCAAACTCAGTTCCACCAGTTCTGTCAGGAGGAATGGGCCAGAATACCGGCAACTGTTGTGAGAAGCTCGTGGAAGGAAACTCAAAACATTTGACCCAAGTCATACAGTTTAATGCAATGCCACCAAATACTAAGGACATGCATGTAAACTTCTGACTTTGACGAAAGTAATTTAAAAAAATTCTAATAAATTCTCTTTGTTGTTTTTCTGGTGTTCAGCAAATAGAAATAATTTTGGTCATTTTAACTAATCTAAAACAGGAAAAATTTAGTCACATTTAATGTCAGAAAGTGAAAAATAATTAAGGTTTTATGTCCCCTATTAAGTCCCTCATTCATCCTACAGAGGAGAAAACACCCAGTCTTAAAACTACGCAGACATGATTCATACTTTATGTCTCCATCTGTGTCTTGCAGAGGTTTGGTATCATATTGTGTCTCTTTATAGTCATTTTGCATTCCCTGACTGGTGGTTTGCATGCATTTTTGTCAGTCTATAATCCGTCCATGTACATTAGTGTGCAGAGTGTACAAGAAAGGATGAGAACACACGTCATTTAAATCGGGGTGACACTGAGGTGTTGGAGTGCTTTCATCAGTCAGTAAGGAGGAAACCCTTCTAAAGTAGCCAGGTGATTGTAGGGGAGGACTTGGAGGCTGACCACACCAACTGGTGGTGGTAATGAAAGTGTTTGAATAGTCGTCCAACCACAGTTTTGGAAAATGTTGTATGGCAGAAAGTGGTACAAGTGAAGGTAACTGTGATGAGTGTGCAACAAAAAGGCAGTGTAGGCCAGGTTTTGTGGTTCCATGCTTTGTTTAGCAATGTAAAGCAGATGTAAAGTCAGATGACGTGATGCAAACAGTCTGCTAACATGAGGTAATGTATGGTTCCCTGTTGGGAGATGTGAGAAGAAAGAAAGAGGAGGAAAAAAAAGAGTCCAAAGAGAAATGTTATGGATGTACATTCCAATAGGAACACTGAGGCAACACTGGACAATGAACAGGCTATTTTCTGTACCAGAGCTTTTAGTTTAATGTAACCTCCATGTGTAAACTGTAATACTGAATGAAGACACAGAATGTGGCAGCAGCAGACTCATGGGTCATGTCTCTGTCTCTGTCTTTGTGGAACAACAAGCAGCATTTAACCACTGAATTGATTCTCCAGGATCAGGTTGAGGTGACAATAGGTGAAGCAGGCCATTCCAGACATCCCATGAAGGAGATAATACATGTCCCTGAACAGTTTGTACTTCTGCTCCCACTCCTCCTCCTCCTCCATCTCCTCCATCTCCTCCTCCTCCTCCTCCTCCTCCTTCCTCTGCCTTAACAATTATAATACTGATCATGGTGAACAATTATAGCGGCACACAGTACAGTTTACTGCAGACAGTCAGAGGACAGTGTGATTACAGTGATTCGCTGTCAGCAACACATCAGTGAAACAAGAGAGCTTTAGTGATTGACAAACGAACAGTGACTTCCCTCCTTACTGGGCCTTTCAGTGCTCAGCTGGACTGTTTGAAAGAACCCTTTATGGCAGATAAGGGTGTGAGAAGAACTCAGAATATTCAAGAGTAAATCAAGCTGCACTTTATCTGCTGCCAATGTTTGGGTCAACGTGTGTGAATCCAGAACATGAGCAAGGTCAGGGCTACAGTTGCTCAAGCACCCCATAGCTGTAGTAAAAACATTACGACGAGACTAAACAATGCCTCAGACAGGGGCAGGACTTTTTTCTTTTTTTTTCCCCAGTTAAAATATGAATTACGAGCTCACACAATCTCTGAAGCTATTTTGGAAAATCTGGTGCTTTAATTTGGCATTCTCCATCCATCCATTATCAATACACCGCTTCATCCTCACTATAGGTCGCGGGGGGCTGGAGTCTATCCCAGCTGACTCAGGATGAAGGCAGGGGACACCTGGACAGGTAACCAGTCTATCACAGGGCTACAAAGCACACTCACATTCACACCAGCTCTGCATCCTAGCCCAGCCGGTGGTTGATGTTGTGCATCTTGCCCTGTCCATTCTGTGCACTGTGTGTTTTTTGTTGTCCCCTGCCCCGTCTCCCAGCACCTGTGTTAAAGAGTTTTCAGTAGATTCTTTGTGCTGTGTCTTGGCTCCATGTATGTTGTGTTACTTACTTGTCTCTTCTAAGTTTTTTGGTGTCCTTGGCTTTTTTTACTTAGCCTCCCTAGTTCACTTCGCACTTCCTTTTGCTAATTCCCCTTTGTTGTCTCATCTGTTTTTGGTACCTACACTTGGGTTTCACCTTGTACCTCCATCCATCCATCCATCCATCCATCCATTATCTATACAGTACACCCCCATATCCTCTGTGGGGTCGTGTAGCGGCTGGAGCTTATTCCAGCAAACTTTGGGTGAAGGCAGGGTACATCCAGATTCTCTGCAAACCTGTGACAGGTATTTTTTCAAGTTAAACTGAATCCATGATCTTCCTTTTAAAGGTGACAGAGTTGCCACTTCTTAGAGGAACAGGGATGTTTGTTTGTTTTGCACTTTATCGCCGCCAAGTGGAGCAGTCGGAACACTGCAAGAAATGACTGCAGGTTCAGTTAAAATTCAACCTGCACCTTTCATCTTCACACATTTGTGGAATTAACTCCTGAACTCACCGATGATGTCAACAGTACATGGGTCGCCTACTCAGACTGTTGAGCTGCCACGGTACCTTTTCTGTTTTTTTGCATAATATATGTTTTATTCATAACCGAAAGAGATCCTGTGGGGGAAAAAAAGCTTTCAAACAATCCAGATAGTTATCAGCAAAGGAAACTATGAGAGCATTTTAATTTGCAGACATTAATATTTATTATATTTGTTTGTAAATATGCTTCCCTCATGCAACAGCTCATGTGGCAGCTTGGCTGGTTGAGAAGCAGGTTTAAATACAGAGTTGTGGGTTTAATGCATGACTAAATATTTAAATATAGATTCAGATTACAGTGAAAAGCCAAATGCAAATGTAAATTTTCTCTCTGCTCTGCTGTGAGGCGTCACATTTAAATTTTAAAGGGTGACAAAGCTACAATCTTAAATCATAATGCATCACATATCACTCTTAAATGTCCAACAACATGCTCTACAAATAAATCCAGACTTACAGGGATAACTTCATGTCTGTGCAATTCATTACATTTTCACATGAGAAAATGTTCAAGCAGTGGTTAAATGTATAGATTTCCACATGGATGTGACATAAAATCACCTGTAAATCTTCCCTACGATTAATGTAGCAACACAGCAGGATGATAAATAACATACTTGTACAATTTTATGAACCATTAACTCTGCTCTACTCCAAAACAATACATATGTTACATGACAGTTTCATATTTATTTGGTTGTGTTGACTAATGTTTCAACCAAAAATACAAACCTTACCAGTAAAATACACGGCAAACCACCCTGTAAGTACAGTTTATCAGTTCCATATACAGTGGAGTTAGATAAACAGAAGCACATATTAAACATGTCTTCTCTTAATCTGCGTTCTTCTCTTCTTCCTGGAAGATCGCGTTGTTATCCTTCTTTACCCAAGCAATTTTCAAACCTGCTGTGATCCCTTTCTCTTTCATCTTCTTCTCCATCTGAAAAACAAGTTCATGAGGGGGAAAAAAAGGGATTTTTGTTGTTCTTTAAATTTAAATATTAATATCAAGACATCTCATCTCACACGTACCAGCTTCAGGATGGCCTCCGTCACAGCAGGGTCATTCAGGTCGATGGTGGATTTCAGTGCCGTCAGCTTGATCTGAAACCGCTGCTTCTTGTCTGCACACAAAATGGAAACACAGATTCACTGAAACATAGACTGGAGTGTCAGTGCAACACGATCAATGTGAGTTTGTTTGGAGGTAACTCACTGTAGAGGCACATGAAAGGAAGCTTTTGGTCGCATGGTTGTTCTACCCACTTTCCAGCATTAATGCCACCGATCAAACTGGTAGCACAGTCTCCAGTTCCTCCCAGTGGGTGCCCAGTCAGCCAGTTTTTGAATTCGTGCTGTGTGCCAGCTGACCAGGAGTACCAGGTTTTTCTGGACAGGCCAACTGAAGCGGACATATGTTTTGGTACCACCTTCTGGATCACTGCCATCTCTTTCTCATTCCTAATAGAGACCAGGTCTGTGTGGAATGACCTGCAGTAGCTCTGAGCTTTCAGCCATGACAACGTCCGAGTTATAAAGTAATGTTTTGGGGAAGAAGCTGGCAAGAATTTTGAAAATTCAGTTAGACGAATTTGCACACATCAGCAATTTATTCTAACCAACAGTTAAAAAAAAAAAATCCAGTAGGCAAGATATCAAATTCAGAGAAGTGATAAATCTTCACATCTTAGTTACAAGACAAACAAAACAGTCAAAGCTGCTATTTATTTTCTGTTTTGGGCCTAAACACATACGAGAAGTAATAATTGCAACACACTACATACAGTTGTGTTACATTTTGTTGAATCACAGAAACCAAAACAAGTGACTTTTTACTCACCATTTGAATTGTCATAGCAGACAAGCTGGTTCATTTTACTGCATGGCTCATCGCGCAAGAAACCATTCTTTACAGAAGTGCACAGGTGCTCCATATTTCTGGCATCATTGGGTTCACCAGGGAACCACTTGAGAAAGAGCTCATTGTTCTTTCCATAGTAGCCATCATCTTCCATAGCCCACGCCCAGCTACTGGAATTGTCATACAGGCCTATCCACACTTTTCCACTGAAGCCACTGCCGGCAGCTGCAATCAGTTGTGCCACGTCCTCCATGTTGTCCACGGTGGCCAGGTCGATGAACCTTTCTCTGCAGTACTGTTGGGCTTCACCCCAAGTCTTTGGTTCATCAACGAGCTGGTATTGACGAAGGCATGAACAGAGCCCTGAAACCAAAAAGGACACACGGGTCATTCTGTGTCAATTAACCAAATGCCCAATGCTTAATCATCTTTTAATTGATTTTTTTCTTTTTTCTTAAAGTGGTAAATATCGATTAAATTGACCGTGTTTAAAGTCTGGGGTCATAGGTGAGTTAGTTTTTGAGTTAAAAAGTCTTAAAGAAAGTGGGTCATGTCAATTTTTGCACCATTTTTTCATGCCAATCTATTTATCGATGTTTGAAGGGCCATAATTTTAGAAATAATTTAGTTAGAATCCTGACGTTTTAAAGATTCAGTGACACAACATATATTGGCACCAATAGGAGCTTAGAGCTTGGTGCCAGTCAGAAGCATAATTTATGAGAAAAATATTAAGGCTACAGTTTTTCATCCAATATTTGAACATGCATTGAACAGATATGATGGTGAAAGAGCAGCCCCAACTGGAAGAATTATATAATATTGTTACAGAGCTAAAATAAAAAAAGAAATGGTAACACTTATAAAATAGTTTTAAGCACTGTGAGTTGGAAAATCCTGATTTTTCTTTTAGCCCGGTAAATTGGCACAACTATTGAATCATACACATGCAGACTGACCTGACAAAAGGAAGATACACAGCAAGGCCCCGTTAACACCTGTGGATAAAACACGTTCATCAGAAGTTAGCCAAGACGTTGTTAGTTTATTAACTTACCACAGAAATAATATGTGTCTCTTTTCTGTTGGTCTATTGTACACACTGAAGAGACAAAAATCCATTTTCTTCTTCTTTTCTTGTGTTTTAAACATATTGCTTACCTGGTCTGCGGGCTGGTGACATCTCCAAACTCTCCAGTTCTTGTCTCTTTATCGAAATCTCACAGAATTTTAAACTGTTGCCCAGATGACAGTTGCAGCAATGCCTTTGTGTTGTCCCTTTCCTCCCTCTTCTGCTTTGTCTTGTCAGGGCTTGACTTTATAAAACTAAATTTAATCCCTTAATATGCAAATAGATAGAGAGCAAGTGCTTCCACAGCCCGACAGGCTGGACACCATGATGTCCTGGTCATCTCATCTTACCTGCACCTGTCATGAGATTAAATTACTTTGGGTTATTTGTTGAAGAATTAACTTCTTATTTAAAGATAATGCATGGATGGATTATAAAACAATATGCCTCGATTGACGTGTACAAGTGTCCTGTTCATCCCGCAGAGAAGCAAGACAACCAGTCTTAGAACCAAACAGACATGATTTATGCTTTGTGTCTCCAACCGCATCTTGCAGAATCATATTGTGTCTCTGAACACATTGGTCATTTGCATGCATTTTAGCTCATTTTTGTCACATTTTGGTAATTTTAGATTTGTTTGTTTGTCATTTACATGTAATTTTTGTCATTGTGTTTCACATTTTGAACATTTAGCATCTCTTTGCTGACATCTTCTTTCATCTCACTTTGGTTATTGTCTGTTCATTCTAGGATGTACAGTACGAGCCCGTGACCCCTGGAGCCTGCGTTACGTCGATCTGTTCATACATCTGTCCACGTACATTAGTGCACACAGTGTAAAAGAAAAAGGTGAGAACACACCCTGTAGTCTCTCATTAACAGAGGTGATGACATTGAGGTGTTCAGGCATTTAATTACCAGGAGGTGATGGTACTGAATAATGAACTGAAGTCAGTGAAAAGGATCCTCACAAAGTTAGACAGGATACCTTTAGTTGTCCAACCACAGTTCTGGAAAAATGTTGCGTGACAGAGAGTGGTACAAGTGAGGGTAACTGTGATAGTTGTGCAACAAAAAGGCAGTGTAAAGTCACAGCTTGTGGTTCTGTGCTTTATTTAGCAATGCAAAGCAAGTGTAAAGCCACTTGGCCTCACCTGATGCAAACAGTATGCTAACATGAGGTGATGTGTGGTTCCCTGTTAGGATACGTGAGAATACTTTTTAAAGAAAACCCAGATGTTTATTTAAT